TTTACAGACTAGAATGTAAAAAAGTTCATCTGATTGGTCTAAATTATTTTTACAGCCTACTTTTGTAGTGAGTATTGACAATATAAAAGCTTAAATTATAGAACGCTTAAAGATAATAGTATATTATGTATCAAGTTTTATAAACGCCATTTTAGTTACGAGTTTGATTAAGCACGAGCGAAGCTTGCGAGCGAGTGTTTAATAAAAACGAGTGTCTAGAGAAGTAGATAAAAATATTTATAATTGTATTAATTTAATATAATTTTATATTCAATCAATCTATTTGATTTGGATTTAATTGTTGCCAACACACATTACCAGTAAATGATTATGGCCTAGGCTGTAAACATTCATTATTTACTACTTTGGACCCATCTGTCAAATCAATTTAAGCTTACTTTCTACTTTTAATAATAATACGTTTTATGAATCGTTAAACAAATAAAATTGTGTTGTATTCCATTCAGCCAAGAAGTGTCTTTTTAGACACACTTCTTGGCCTTAAATATATAAATAACTATTGGATATAAAATTATGCACAAAAACTAACAATTAAATACTAAGATCAAATTTAATCAGTTTTTGGTTAAACTTATAAAAATATTTTTAAAATCAACAAATACAGTTTACAGCTTATACCCACTGGGAAAGAAACCTTACAAAATATTGCTGCAATGTTCGCCGACTTTACAAATAAAATATTTCCTGTGCTACTTGCATTAACATAAATGAAATTTTACATTTGAAATATTGCATATAATAATTTCCAACAACCTTAAATTAAAGATTCACATGGAAAGTTTTTACAATGTTATATTTGTAACATTAAGTATAAAATGTTGCATAAAAGTTTTTAAACATTACAATTATAATATTGCAGACATAACTTTGTTCAATGTTTCAATTGAAATATTAACACAAGTTTCAAATGAAAAATGTTTGCAACTTTACTTTAAATATACAATAGAAACATTTATTTTGGAATGTTTGGGAATATTTTTGAAACATTGCAATTATAATATTACATTGATAAGTTTTGGGCAATGTTTCAACCGAAATAATACATTAATATGATTTTTGCAATGTTACTTTATATAAACAATATAAACATTTAATTTGCAAGATTTTTTAAACATTGCAATTATAATATAACAATTCTGAAGAACTGTTTTGCTTGCTATAGTGTAAAATAAATAAATAAATAAATAAATATTACATTGATAAATTTTGGGCAATGTTTCATCCGAAATATTACATTAAGATGATTTTTGCAATGTTGCTTTATATAAATAATATAAACATTTAATTTGCAAGATTTTTGAAACATTGCAATTATAATATTACATGGATAAGTTTTGGGCAATGTTTCATCCTAAATATTACATTAAGATGATTTTTGAAATGTTGCTTTATATAAACAATATAAACATTTAATTTGCAAGATTTTTGGAACTATAATATTACATTTATAATTGTAACTTTAGTTTTGGACTATGTTTCATCCGAAATATTGCATTAAGATAATTTTTGCATTGTTGTTTGCAGACTGACTTGCCGATGCATCTCGCCGCTGTTATATCTTTATACACTGAAAAAAATAAGCTGTTGAAACAACAACAAAAATATTAATTAAACTCTTTATGCACTTTAAATACAAGCAATGGTTTTTGCACGTTTACTTAACCATCTAAAAATGTCAAATTGTATTGTTTAATTGAACAACAAATAACAGTCAAATGAATAAAATGAGAATATTTGTTCTAATCTGCTAATTTGGTTAATTTAACATTCTTAGGGTGTTAAGGTGAATTTCTTGAAATGTCCAGGTAACCTTTTTAGCATATTCACTTAACACCAATAAAATGTTAAATTAACATTCTGAAAATTCTTTAAAGGTTGGTATCCAAAACAAAATTATGGAAATAATATATTATTATATATAAAGAGAAAGAATTGAACCTTCACCTCGCCCAGAGTTTTTGTTTTGAGCGTGTTCCATCTACTTTAAATACCGACAGACAGCTGTTTCGCCCTGTATTGAGGGTCTTATCAGTGTCGGGCAATATGGTGTAGTGAAAGTTCCACTGTGGAACACACCTAAAACAAACAGCTACCTGATCTTATATACCCCTAATCGTAAGCCAACTAAGGCGAGATGTAAGAACACGTCATCGTCTAATGACGTGGCGCGGGTGTTCGAAGCGCCATTCTCGGCAATTTTATGAATGCAAATTTCACATTTTAAATTTTAAAGTAACATTTACAATTTGTTAAATGAACAAATTTAATGTTTTGGATTAAAGAGCAACTAAACGTTAATTTAATAGTTTTTTTAGGTAATCCTAAACATTTCAGTGGTCGATTCAACCTTTTCCAGCTATTAAATCAAAATAGGTTAAACATTTTAATTAAAAAAATTAGTTTATGTTAAATCAATATTTTAACTGTCAAATGAACAAATAAACTTTGACAAACTCTGACTATTGCTTTAACACCAAAATATAGATTAATCCAATAGGTTTTTTGTTGAAACAACATTTTCAAAAATGACATTTAGGCAAATGTTAACTCAACTACATTATTTTTTTCGGTGTAAGTGAACATTGCCGAGCTTGATACGTGTCTCCCGTCACCGACTGCCTTACACTGATGAGACCAAACAGGTCGAAACAGTCTGTTATTTATATATAATAGGCCTATTTACGGATAAATAATTATAATTAATTATTATAATAATAATTCATATTAATTTAATTGCAATGTTCCTGTAATGTTGCAGGAACCTTTCATTAACAAAAATAACATTTAGTAACATTGCAATTAATACATTTAAGCAACATTTTATTTGTAAGGCCGTATTACAGCCGGCAATTCTCTAAATGTAATGTTTCTGAACCATCAGGCTTTGTTGCAATGTTCCTGCAACATTGCCACAAGGTTTTTTTGTAACATTACACCTAACAAATGTAATGTTGCAGGAACATTACATTAACAAAAATAACATTTAGTAACATTGCAATTAATACATTTAAGCAACATTTTATTTGTAAATGTAATGTTCCTGAGCCGGACATAAGGCTTTGTTGCAATGTTCCTGCAACATTCTCACAAGGATTTTTGTAACATTACATCTAACAAATGTAACGTTTAGTAACATTGTAGAAATATTATTTTTCCCAGTGGGTAGCTTACTTAGAATAAAATAAATATGTTTAAATTAATTTCAATAGGGGTAGTATTAATTAAATAGTTTGATGTAATATTAAGTTTAATAAAATTTATATTTATTTATTTAATACTAAGTGGCCAAAAGTATAAATATTTTTTTGGAATATATTTAATTTTATGTAAAAAAAGATATTTCTTTAATATTGTAACAGAATTTAAATTGCATATTCAGTATTTTAACAAAATGCTCAACCATTAAAAATAAAATGTTTGTTGTAAAATTAAATACAGAGATCATAATTTATCATTTTTAGATAAGGGGACATCCATTTAATACGTGAGACAAGAATGGGGGGAGGGGTCCAGCAAAATCTCACCAAATCTCATTTTCTCACAACAACTTAAAAAATATGTATTATAATTCAAATTTGTTAAAAAAAATTAATCATTTTTTTACATGTTGTCCGCAAAGAAAGTTTAATGGCTAAAATCTCACGGGCGTCTACCACATCTCACCAAGGGGGAGGGCGGGGGTCCAAATTATCAGAAAAATGACTCACGTAATTGATGGATGTCACCTAGACCCCTCCACCATTTTAATAAAATCCTTTTTAACACTTTTAACAGATAACACATGTACAAAATTCGACAAATTTGTTCCTAATATACCACTTTTTCTAAAGTAAAATTTGGTGCTGATTCCGAAAAACCGGTTTTACTGGTTTAGCTCTAGATTTCGAGATACGCAATTAAATCTCGAAAAAAGCACTGCCTACCAACAATGACGATATCGTTTGTAACGTTGTCAGACGTGTCACTTTATTTTAATTATTTAACTCAAAATGTCTATGGCAGCAAGTTTATTATACACCAAAATGCAAATATTTTATTTAATCTAATAAAAAACAATGCTCGGAAGCTTCTTAACGACTCGTTATAGTAATATACACTTTAAAAAACAGTATCGTCATTATAATCGTGCCATAAATAAATTGAGTTTGAAATTACTTATTCAAACGAAGTACATATAACAAGAGATAAAAACAGAATTGCAGCGATAAATTGTAATTAAAGTATACTTTTGTAATACTTTAATTTGCTTTAACCTCTATAAGTGCGATCGACAATTAATTTTTAAGCAACTGCTACCAACCCGTCGCTACGAGTTAATTTTTAATTGTGCTTTTTTATTTTCACATGTCTTTTTGGTCACACCCTGTATATTTTTATATACTTGAACCCTGCGTTAGTGTGCCATTTTAGGGACACCCTTCCACATACATATTATATAATATGTAAATAAATATTTTTAAGCAAATACTTTAAACATACATTGTTCATATAGAGCATCTTTCGTTTTTTTTAAAGCCTTGCTCGGGAGCAAACTGTTATCCAGAAATTCTGCATTTTTATATTAAAAATATTTTGATATTACTATCACTATTAATTAATTAGCAACCTTTTGATGCAATAATTTTTTTTTTCAAATATAAAATTGTAAATATTCATAAAACTGTCAATTTTAAGTTATGTACTTTTCAATTCAATTTGATTTCCTATGCTTTGTTAAGAAAAACAAACATACCTACATAATATGTTTTGCCTTTTGCAATATAATTATAAATTGCTACAATAAACTAATGTTAAAGATACAATTTAGCATAGAAAAATGTTTTCTCTGGGTTAACAGTCCCCATATCATATTCGCATTTTTTTCACAAAAATACATTATTTCTATTTTTAAATAAAAAATGCAGCTTAAGACGCTCAAGTAGGCGGCCAAGCGCGCGCATCCTGAATTTTCTCCGTCAGGATGTTCCCAATGGAAAATCAGTCACTGCGGGCTCGTTGAGTTGTGTGGTGCTCCTGGGTTGCTCTTTTACATCCATTGTAAGTGCCTAATATAACGCTTTTATCAACACTAACATGAAGAACAATTGTTATCCGACAATTTTTATTTTTTTACCCAAAGTGCATAGAGTGTCGTTCCTGGCGTATTATGTGTGTATTGGAAGTTTAAGTGGTGTTCCGATAGTGATCATTTTATATATTCAATAATCACACTTCTACACACATTTAAAATTCCTTATTAACTAATTAGTCAGGTTAATTTAATTGAAAACACATGTTGCACACACCTTGCTTTTGAGTTTCGTATTTAAGTTATGCAATTAACAGGGTTTGGAAATCTGCCATCAGTTGTTTATACTATTGCTATTTATAAATATGCTAGATTATTTACTATTATTCTTAAGAAAGGTAGTGCTGGCTAAAATTGGCAGGCAACTGCCTTGCGCAAAATTTCTTTTTTAAGAAATTTTAGATCCCAAATTTTTATTTTAAATTAGAACATTGATATTGTGAGTTTGTAAACCCAAATAACACCTTTTTTTTTCAAGCCAGTGGCCTTCTGCTTTTAATAATTTTAGTTTTATAATTTAAAGATAATTGAAGGGGTAAGAAGGAAAAGGGTACAAGTGCAAAAAAAAGAAGTGGAGTTTTTGCTATATACAAAAATCTGGATACTTGTTTCAATGTTTGCATTAATCCACATGCAGAACACATACAATTTTCAAGTTATAGATAATTAAAAAAAAATTGGACTCTAAACCACCCAATTCTGCACGTAACTTATTTTCATGCTTAAATACCCTTTTGCTTCTTACCCCTTCATTTATTAAGTAAAGTATTTGTTGGTTTGGTATATTTTTGCTAAATACCACACGTACTTTTACGCCAAAAATTAAATTATATGCAAAACAAGATTTTAACCTTAATTCATTACGAAATTCCATATTTTTTTAAATTAAAGTAGCTTTATCTTTTTAATTTTATAAAATTGTATGTTGTTCCAAAAAAAACATTTTACTTGCTATTCGCCTATAAACGTCAGACATATGTATTAAGTGGGTGTAAACTAAAATTTGGGAGAACCTGATCTGAAAAACTGAAAATGTATACACACGCCAAGTCGGACTGTATTTGGCAGCGAGTTAAAATTAGACGTCACGTCTGAACTTACATGCTTGTATCCAAAAATAACTTTTACTGAACTTACTCGTTTAATTTTCACATAAAATATACAGTATAAAAAAAGTTATAATTTTAAATGGAATTAATAATTTTGTCATTTAAAAACAAAAATTAATTTAATTATTTAAAAAAATGTTGGTTCTATCCAAAAATAACTTTTACTGAACTTACTCGATTAATTTTCACATAAAATGTACAGTATAAAAAAAAGTTATAATTTTAAATGGAAATAATAATTTTGTCATTTAAAAACAAAAATTAATTTAATTATTTAAAAAAATTTTGGTTGTTTTCATGATATGTACCTACCTAATACTTCCCTAAATTATTATTAGGTATTATTATTTTGCAAATGTTTTACCTAGAACTAAAAACTGTTTAGGTCTTTTGTTAGTAAAAGTTTACGACTTATTTGTAGTAAAAGTGGTTAAACTAATCAGTGTTGCCAGGTGAAGCAGAACAAAAAGTGGTACCAAGTTCTTGATTAAATGGTATTTATTAAATACTATTTAATGGTACACACAAGTTCTCTATTTAATGGTATTTAATTGTACAAATTTCATTTTTAATGTCCAAATATTACAATGAAATCTTTTCTTGGTCGTGAGTTTATTATTCTACAACTGTCAAACCACAGAAGTTCTGTGACAGAACAGTAAACAAACATTATTCAGAAATTTAGGAAATTACAGAACAACATTTATCGGTTGCAACTTGCGAGATTCTCTGGTTTGATATCACAAACATTTAATAGAGGGCGCAGGAAAATGTAATTTGGCTAAGCTACCTACGAGGCGCAGTGTGTTAGGTATGCAAGACAAATTACATTTTACACTATAATGTTGGTCACTAATTTACTAATTAGCATTAAATTAAACAAAAACAATTCCGTCTAAAAATAATGGTAGGTATTTAATATACAAAATTGTAAAAAATGATACATAAATTGACGATGGTACGAGGTACAAAAAATGGTATAAATACCATTATAATAATAATAATATAATAATAATAATCCAAAGTGCAAAATTTTTGGCTTATACTCAAAATATGTGACTTTTTATGATTACACATGTTAAATAACAACACATTTGTTGTGTGGTGTAATTTTACATTTCAAATTTATTTACAATTTTGCCAGATACGCGTCGGTGTTCTATGGGATAACCCCAAATATTTTTGAATAACTATTTATATAATAATGACTGTTATGTAACGATTAAAATATGAAACAATGGCATAAGACCAATAAACAAATTAAATAAACATTTTTTAGTCGTTTGGAACACAAATACCCAATAAATTTCAATCTATCTATTTCAGTCTGTAATTAGCATTCTATCCTGAAAACCTTTAGAACAAATCGCAAATGCTAATTATAGGGCATTGTTTGTTTTTCATCCAAGTTTCTAGAATATAATTATAAATAAAATCGGGCACTAGGAACATTTAGTATCAACAAACACCTTGAAATTTAGACTTCAATTTGAATTTCTGTTTTTCTTTTGCAGAGTTTTTTTAATACCCTTTAATCATGTCCGACGAAGAAGAAGTTTACTCGTAAGTAAAAATAATTTAAATTAATCAATTGAAATAAAAAACTGCCAAAAAAGTTAAATAAATAAAACATTTCTTATATACATCTAATAAATATGTCCTTTGATTTTGTCCTAATAAATTAAAACAATTGTTTGTCTTTGTCTGAAATTGTGTCTGTCTAATATTTCAGCGAAGAAGAGGAGGAAGAAGAAGAAGTCGTTGAGACGTAAGTTCATAATAAGTAGATAATTGTTAATTTTGATCAACAAAAAAATTAAAAAAAAGGTCAAAATTGCAATTTTCAGCAAACAATTAAATAGTTGAATTAAATTTAAAAATCAAAATTCCCATTGGCCATAATAACTCAAAATTTTATTTAGGTATTTTTTAGAATTTTTAGAGCCTGCGTTAATTTGTCTTAACCGTTACCATAAGTTTAATACCCTTTGTTTCTCTTTACAGAAAAACGTAAGTCAACCCATTTCCTGCTGTACACGTGGTAGATAGAGTACCCAGTAGATTTTGTGTTATGGCCTCATACGTTAAGCCATTTTGTCACCTAGTACCTAGAATATTTTTAAAGGCCGTCACGTAAATAATTTGGTTTAAATTTAATGTAAATTAATTTAATATTATTATTTCATTAAATATGGGTATGAAATCTAACAGAAAAGTTTTCAATATCGATTTTACCCACATATGGAGCATTTTACCCAAAATTTAAATATTATCAAACTAAAAAAGAAAAATCATTTTAACATGAAAAAATTAATAGTTAATTGGTTAAAATTAAATAAAACTTTTGTATTCTTTGTCAAAATTGCTATTTTTATATTTATGTAGACTGCCTTATAATGTGTTTTGTCTATTTTTTATTTTATTTTTTTCTCCTTTTCACCTTCGTGACCCCCCTGTGAACCTTTGTGACCCCATAGGACCACCACTACGACTACCACCAAAGTCGAGTAAGTCAAAAAAATGACAATAGAAAAACGCGGAGCTGCTTTTTTTGTCTTGCCACTTGATTACTTTTTGTACATAGATTTTTGTACCGTCATTTTTGTATTTTGTGTACAAAGAGTAATTTTTCTTTCAACTAAAAATAATTTTTAAGCTTTTCTTCGGCAAATGGCAGCTGTTTAATGATGGAGCAACACGAGAACGTTTAAACCAATAAGGATAATGCTTTTAAGTACTTACTGTTCTATCTAACATTTTTTTTCATGTTTAATTTTGTTTTAATTTTTGTATAATTATTGTTTAACTTAATTAATAATAATTATGAAATTCAACAGCACGACATCTTTTTTATTATGAACTCTTCGAATGAAATTAATAAGCTAGATATTTTTTAATACACCTACTTAAAATAACTTCTAAAATTAGAAGTGTAGCTTCTTACAGTTATAAACGTCGGCGTTTTAGTTTTTTTTTTAAGAAATATAAATATTCTGAATTCTATTTAAATTTGTTATGGTCGTTCATGAAAAAAATAATATACATTCAAGAGTTTATAACTGGATTAATTTATGCTATGTACTTGCTTCGTTTTTCTTAAAAATGTTTCGATAATAACAAACGATTGATGTGAATTTACAGAGAAGGAGCGGGCGATCCAGAATTCATTAAGCGCCAAGACCAGAAGAGATCCGATCTCGATGACCAACTCCGCGAATACATCACAGAATGGCGCAAACAACGCGCCAAGGAAGAACAGGACCTCAAACACTTGAAAGAAAAACAAGCCAAGCGCAAAATCGCCCGTGCCGACGAGGAAAGAAAAATGGCCGAGAGGAAGAAGCAAGAAGAAGAGCGTCGTGTCCGCGAAATTGAAGAGAAGAAACAGCGCGACATCGAAGAAAAGAGACAACGTCTCGAGGAAGCCGAAAAGAAACGCCAGGCTATGATGCAAGCTCTCAAGGACCAAAACAAGAACAAAGGACCAAACTTCACCATTCAAAAGAGAGAGGCCGGAGCTACCCTTTCCGCCGCTCAAATTGAAAGAAACAAGACTAAGGAACAATTGGAAGAGGAAAAGAAAATCTCCCTTTCCATCCGCATCAAACCTTTGACAATCGACAACTTGGGCGTAGACAAGCTCAGAGAGAAGGCCCAAGAGTTGTGGGATTGCATCGTCAAGTTGGAAACTGAAAAGTACGACTTGGAAGAAAGGCAAAAACGTCAAGACTACGATGTGAGTTATTCGATTGACTTATATACATATTTTTACAAAAAATCACATACAAACTTTATTTCCAATTTTTTTAAAATACAAGTGATGTAAAATTATAAACGGCCAGGCTCTTTTGACGTCTATAATGCTTTGATGCAAAGCTTAATTTAAAAAAAAATTGTATATTAATCATATATACACACACCGGCAAATTTAAAGGAACGGAGATAAATTTCTATTTTTTCCCCATAACTTGTTTTTCTCCGAATAAATTTAAACGAAATCTCTTAAAAAATGTTAACTAATGGCTTAGATTGTTTTGCAAAGCTTTATATTCTTTTGAAGCATATTTATAAACTTAAGACATAAAATTGCGTTTTTGCAAAAAAAAAAGGATTGCACATTTAAATTTGTTTTAAACATTTAATGATCAGGGAAAATAATAAGGATTATTGTTTTCAATAACATGTGTTTCCTCCACGAGCTCTTATGACTGCAGTCATCCGTCTTCCCATACTTCTGATCAGGTTGTCGATCATTTCTTGAGGTAAATTCTCCCATATTTCAATTAAAGCATCTTTTTACCTCTTCTTTGTTTTGATCAGCAGGAATTATTAATCTAAGTCGTCTGCCTAGCATGTCCCATACATGTTCTATAGGATTTAAGTCCGGGGAGCATGCTGGCCAATTCATTGTCGGTATTTCCATTTGGTTTAAAAAGAGACAGGAGTAAAATTAAATTTTTCATGTTGTTCTCCAGGACGCCGATACACTCTTTCCCTGCCATCGATCGAATTTACGCAGAAACGGCTCTCATCCGTGAACAAAACTCGACCCCACTGATCTTCGTTCCAATTTTGCTGTTCTCGAGTAAACGCTAATCAAGCTACTCGATGACGTCTCTGGAGTTTTGGGGCTTTTTTGAACTATACGACTTTATATCAACTTCTTTTAACCTTCTTCTAACTGTACGCTCATTTATTCTGGTTCCACGTGGAACGTCGTACGAACCTCTTCCAGTGCATTTCTTGTTTGAACTGCCGTCTGGCGTCTATTTCGAAGTGTTTGTAATGTTATAAACCGATCATCTACAGCCGTGGTTGAGCGTTTTCAGCCTTGACCTCGTCTTCTAATATACTCCCCAGTTTGCCTCCAACGTGTAACATTTCGATGGATCGTCGATTTTGATTTTCCAAACATCCTTGCAACATCACTGTAAGATCGACCATTTTAGATCATTGCTGCAGCCCTAGCGATATCAGTCGGTGCTAAATCACTCATTTTGGACTTTTTCACAGTCAATGTGACTATAGTAAGCCACAACCAAGTAACAGCAATTGATTGTGAAAAAACAACTAACTTTTATCAGAAATTAACGAACACCTTTCCCACTTAATGCAACAACTAAGGGATGTTTGACGTTAATTTTGATTTTGACGTGGACTAACTTGATCAAAATTTGCAAAATATATAAAAAATTTACTAATAAATGTAAGCCTAGGCCGTACAATACAGTACAAAAAACTAATTTTGCAGCACAACTAGAAAAACCAAAATTTTTATACGTTCCTTTAAATTTGCCGGTGTGTGTATTTTGTATTAAACTTAATGAAAACCCCAATTTCAATGTTTCGCTCGTTTTATTGTAAAAAAAAATAATGCAATATATGTATTTTTGTGTACTAACTAACTTTTATCAGAAATTAACGAACACCTTTCCCACTTAATGCAACAACTAAGGGATGTTTGACGTTAATTTTGATTTTGACGTGGACTAACTTGATCAAAATTTGCAAAATATATAAAAAATTTACTAATAAATGTAAGCCTAGGCCGTACAATACAGTACAAAAAACTAATTTTGCAGCACAACTAGAAAAACCAAAATTTTTATACGTTCCTTTAAATTTGCCGGTGTGTGTATTTTGTATTAAACTTAATGAAAACCCCAATTTCAATGTTTCGCTCGTTTTATTGTAAAAAAAATAATGCAATATATGTATTTTTGTGTATAAACATACATAAATAGTATAATTTTTAGAAAATAACACGAAATTAGCTTGACACTAACAGAAAATTAACTTTAATTATTTGTATTAAAGTCACGTTGTGGCACATTTGGGTGTGGACTATAGTACAATATATGTTCTATAGTCCAGAATATATAATAATTAAAATTCACGATGCACAATAAATAATAATTAAAATTAACGTTAATTTTAATTATTATTTATTTTTCAAAAAGATTTGACCTTCATGGTATGTATTTTGTTACAGCTTAAAGAATTGAAGGAAAGACAAAAACAACAGCTAAGACACAAAGCCTTAAAGAAGGGTTTGGACCCTGAAGCCCTTACCGGCAAATACCCAGTAAGTAAATATTGTTTGTGCTGTAAAACATGCTGACATTTAATTTTTTTAGCCCAAAATTCAAGTAGCCTCCAAATATGAACGGAGGGTGGATACCAGATCATATGACGACAAGAAAAAACTTTTTGAAGGTGTAAGTATAAAAATACCACAAGAAAGACCCACATACATCCTTCACAAAAATTATTGCATACATTACCTTTTTTTTAAATTGCAAAGGGCTTGGGTTCTTTATATTAGCATTTATAGGTACTGTGTGTACACAACGGTTTATATATTTTGTTATGTTTTTCATGTTTAAACATTTAAAGTTAAATAACGAAATTTGCTTTTTAACAAAACACCGAATACATTGTTTATTTATCCAACATTTACTGTATTTAAAGCTACAATCACTTAAACATACATAATATAATATCATAAATGAATTTAGGGTTTTGATCATGGTATGTTGGACCAAATCGAAAAGAACTGGAGATCTAAACTCCAAGAGTTTATGAATAGAAGCAGGAGTAAGTCATTAAAGACGTCAACACCCCCTGTAATAATAAATTGTTATGTTGCCTGTCCTAAATCTCTTTAATCAATTTAACAATTATTAAAAAAATGTGCCTGTCTTAGTGTCGTGTTTTATGTTTAACAGGGAATTGATGATCTAATTAAGGAAACCACCGAAAAGAACTGGAAAGAGAAATTTGGACAATTCGATTCCAGGCAAAAGGGTAAAACATTATCTTATTAAATTACTGACATTTTTTGAATGTATTAACAACTTTTTTAATTAATGGTAAATGGGCAAATCGCTGGTAGCAAGAAAACTGTCAGAATTCTAAACCTAAAAATAGATGTTTCGGTCATTAGGGCGATTTTCTCATTTTACATTACTTACATTTACTTTTAACTATCTAGTATTATTCTACTAACTCTTAAACCATTTTGTGCCCTACAGCCAGGTTACCCAAGTGGTTCGGTGAAAGACCAGGCAAAAAGCCCGGCGACCCAGAAACCCCCGAAGGCGAGGAAGAGGGCAAACAGGCCGTAGATGACGATGATGACATCAAGGAACCAGTCTTTGAACCTGAACCAGAAGAGGAAGAGGAAGAAGAAGAGGTTGAGGTCGATGAAGAGGAAGATGACGATGATGAGGAGGAAGAAGAATAGATATCAATAGGTACATTGAAAGAAAATCAGACATATGGACATATATTAATAATGTTTTATTTTAGCTAAAGCATAATGAATAACATCGTTTTACCCTTTGGGCATGATATTAATATTCATTTTTTGTTTTCCACTCCACAAGAAATGTTGTTTAATTTGTAATTATATAATAAAGTTGTATTTGTAATCATAAAAAACTATCATTATATTATTTTGGTGTTTTATTTATATGTTCAATTAGTGTTAAGGAAAAATAAAAAAATAAAAAGTAATTTAACATTGGTAAATTTATTTCAGCTTAGAAAATAGATACATATTTCCTTAGTATAGTATAATAAAATTATGGTTAAAATAAAGCAAATATGTGTGTAATTAAAATTGACTTATATCTAACTTAACCCGCGGTTACTTTGCTGTTGTGCAGACCTTTTTGGGTCATATTGATCTTATCTCCAAGACTTAAAGCCATTCCCTATAAAAAAAATCCATCCAGTAATAAAATAGTTTTATATAACACTTATAATTACCTGACTCTTAGCTCTTATACGAATATGTCCAGCCACTGGGGCATCAGGCTTATTAAAAGGCTTCTCAATACTTAAATTAGCCAAAGCATCCTCTCCAAAAATAGATTTAGCATACATGTTGGCCGCCATAAATCCACACTGACCGGACAAAGCCTTTTCCGGAGTCAAGCATTTCATATTGGTACTTTTAATGAGATGTTTAAGATATTCCGCAAGGTCCGTAATGGGGGTGTTAACGGTTACTTTGTTTTCCCATTCGAATTCCGCCCACATCCTCATGAATTCAGAATCGTTGCAAGAAGCTGGTACAATGTAGTCCATAATATCGATATGAATGTCGTTGAGAACAACAACATTGCGATCTGAAGCGGCACCGGTCACATCGTAAACGATATTACCGAATATAATACCATTTTCGGTTGAGGCCACTTTTACGTTAGCTTTAATATTGCAGAAGTCGCGAGGTGCAAGTACTACGGGTTGAGGTTTTTCGACAAGTTTTAAGTCGCCCAGTGTTGCTAATTCTAGGGTGCAATTTTGTAGGGTATCGTTTGTTTGGTTAACAATAAGTACATCCAGAACTATATCGTATTGGTTTACGTGTACGTATGCTTCTGCGTAAACTGGATCCGAAAAACCGGTCAATTGTGTTACCTTATTCAACTTATTTACCCCTGTATTAGAATCTTGACCCTGACCACGGCCGCCTATTACGGCCTGATTCAACGACATCTCGAAAACGTTTTCGCCCAATTCCCCTGATCTATCACTTTCTAATTGCATGAAATTAATTGGATCATCGGTTTGGATCAAGTTACCGGCTTTTTCTTTAGCTTTTTGAGTCGAGGCTTCTTCAATCTCTTTAGCGATGAGCATATCGTTTAGCGCGTTACGACACAATTGCACGAATACTTCGATGATGGTGGGACTACGGTCCGATATAACGCGAAGACAAAATAGAATATGGTCTTTGTCGTCGTTGGTGATTGGTTTTGTAGGCAAGCCTAAAAGTAAATTACTTTTTTGATAATGGTGCTTTTATATTAGTGGTGTGCATTATCTTTCTTTAACGTATATTTTTGTTTTTTAACAAAAAAAAATATGAATCGTATAAATTTTAAAATCTGTATCCGTAAAACTAAACACAACAAATAACCCATATCCGCGGATCAGGATTTTCGATAATTTAGAACATCACCAGTATTGTGTTTCAGCATTTGGTCATTTTAATTGGTAACAATTAGAAAATATATTTTTATGCTGTAGATCACTGCTATGCTATTACTTTGATAATTAGTTTGGAGCGTAACAAATAAAAAAAAAATTAAAAAATGATATTTAAGATGAAAACCAGAATACTTCTCTATAAACAATCAAGCAGGAAAAACATGGCATGAAAACATTTACACTTTTTTAGGTTCTATTTATTGGACCAAAAGTACTTCTTTACTAACCTGACTTTCCCAAATGTATAATTCCTGCCATAATTAACATAATTTCGGCATCAAACCTGTTTGCTTTTAGATGCTCATTCAATTTTGCATATCTTAGAGCCAGTTTGGTTAGGGTTGAGGCCAAAGCAGCTCCAATAAAGAAATCACCGTCCATTAGGTACTGTCTTAGTGGTGGCCTCTTAACTTCTTTATCTTTTCTAAAAAATAAATGTATTGTTACTGTTGTTACTTCGGCGATTTTTATTTGATATAGATTAAGTAAAAAGGATGATTTGTTAATTATATAAGTATACTTATAAGGTTTTTTTATTTAGTGGGTTTTAAAATTTTTACAAATTGACCCGACCCGTGTTTGCATGTTCAATTGAATAGCATAGCTCAATACAAAAGCCTACATTTTTAAATAATCTATTTTCAACAATATCGCCTATGGATGAAATCCTCATAAAACAAGTCGTCCGGAAAAGTGCTTATTAGTTTGTATTCAAGTGTTAATGTTGCTTCATAGGGGGTGTGTTTCTTAATTTATGTAAAATAATATTATATGTTAATACTTTATTAAATTTTAATTAATATTTATTTAGTAAAATAACAAAGAACATCACAAAAGCATTTTGCTCGGCAATTTAAAGTATCCCCAAGCTTCTTTTACATTTATTGTGTAGGTATAGTTTATTTAATTAAAATAACAAAAAATTTCGCGCCAAAACTTACCTCTATAAATTTGACACAGCGTTAAGTGTGAAGGTGAGCAATGCTCACTGAGCATAATATATTTCCCTCACCTCCTGAGCTATATTTTGGTTTTATGTTGAAGATTTGGGTCTATGTAACTAAATAACTAATGAAGTAAATACACAATTTACTTTATTATACTGTTACAAAAAAGAATAATAATTTAGGATTTTAAGAAGCTGGCTTTGAATCGCATACTGCATACGGAAAGTGGGTAAAATAACCCTGGGAGATTAGTGTAAGTTAATGTCGATGGGGCCTACCATACGTCCCTAAACTCATACTCATACTCATAACATTTGATTTAAATACAGCCAATTTTCTTAAGAATTTAATAAATATTTTTTAATTTAATACAAAAGGCACCATATACAAACAGTGATGGGCACGTACCCGGTATATATACATATATATACCCGATTTATTCAAATTTGGATAAATACCCAAGGTATGTAATAAGTACTATGTACCAGTGGTAAGCACTATTGTAAACTTTGAACTATCAACTATCGATAATGCTCACCACCACTACATAGTACATACCTTGGGTATTTATCCAAATTATAAATCGGGTATATACCGGGTACGTGCCCATCACTGTATGTATATAGTGCCTTTTGTATTAAAATAAAAAATAATTATTAAATTCTTACAAATCGACATTACCTTACAATAATCTCAGAGGGTTATTTTACCCCCTTTCCGTTCTCATACGTATCCCGCAACTGCACAGAATTTCCTGTGTTTGTTGGATCCTATTTTTTACGCCGGCTGGCAGATGCCAATGTCGATGGTTAAGGCCATTCCCGGAATTTTGTCGCCGGGTCAGGCCATACGCCAAATTTAGGCTAGTGAAGTGCGGGACAAGGGGGGAACACATGTTGATTTTTGGAGGACATTGAACTGACCCAAAACTAGGTACAATCAGGAATCCTTCTCAACCTGGGCTTTAGTAATAACCCCATTAAATTGGGGTTCATGAATGGGGTTAGGTGGGTGTACTGTTCGTCTCTGTCCGAGTCAGATTCCGGTTCCTGATAACCCCCCAGTGCGATAGTAAATCTGTCTTCAGTACCGAAGTGTTGCCGGCCACGACCCGCCGTAAATAGTGCCGTCTGCCTTCGTGAAAATTCAACCCCTCATGCCGAGTACCGACTTTAGAAGTAAAAAGGTTTCCGGGTTTTAAGCCGCGTATCATTGTAATTTGGTTTGACGTTTCGGCAGCCATGTTGCTGTCTTCTTCAGAAAACTGAAACTAAATAGACTGGTCTGCCTTTATTTTCTCAGGGTTGAAAGATTTCTTATCCTTTCTTTGCCCAAAATTCTTAAGTTTATACATTGTTTGTTTGATTTATTTTACATTGTTCGACTTATTTTGATTAGCTCTATTTTAAATTTTATTCATAGTTTCAGAAATTTGGATTTGATTAGGTGATTTATGGGACTTTACAACAATTTTTCTATCTTAACATTTATCTTGTATACAGGACTTCACAGTTTGGTATTTGACTAGAGTTATCACAGATTGCTTTGATTTGACTAGCGATATCACAGGTTGGTTTGCAGTAGCAGGTGCTTGGGTCTCTTTGGTATATTCTCTGAGGTTGGAGTGTAGTTTACAGCTTCCCTAGCTAGCGGATTTGGGTGGATTGACATGGATTGTATCGTCCGTTGAGCCACTTTTTTGATTTCGTCTTCTATGCTTGATAGCTTAAGGTCATGTGCTATATCTGTGTTTCGGACAAACCACGGGGCTTTAGTCATCCTTCTCGCAGCTATGTTATGGACTATCTGGAGTCTTTTTATTTTTGTTTTCGCTGCATTTCCCCAGGTTGTTGCTCCATAAGTCATTGCTGGGCCTAGATAGGACTCTTGTTTAGTGTAGTAATTTTTGGCCGAGAATATATAGAGAATCTATAGAGATTCAAAAATTCTCGAACTTCAACAGAGACCAAGGGATCGAATTGGCCCCCATTTGGAAGAACATGTTTCGCAACACCGGTACGTCACGGACTAGTAATCCGGAAACCACAGATGAGCACACAACAACTGGTGCATGAAATCACTCACCGGAACACCAACCAGCGGCCCAAAAACACCTATTAAAGACGTGAACCGATCCAATCTCTTAAGTTTCAGTTTTCTGAAGACGACAGCAACATGGCTGGCGAAACGTCAAACGAATTACAATGATACGCGGCTTAAATCCCGGAAACCTTTTTACTTCTAAAGAAAATAACCGCGAAAGCCTTAGAGATACGAGTACCGACTTCATATCATGCTGTTGAGCCCACTGAAAATGTTGCAGATAAACACGAATTATTACAGGTCAATATTATTATAAAACCAAAGAAAGCATTCCTGTACTAGAACATCCGTATGAAACCCGTCGTACTAATAAATATGTTTTACCAAAGATGAAAAGAGTAATAGGACAAAGATCTGCCTCTTTTTTAGGTCCAAAATGTCTGAACTACATCTCAAATAATGTTTTAAAATTTAATAACAATAATTTTATTCCCTTTAAGAAACAGTTAAAGGATTTCTTGATTAGTGTCCCTGAGAGCTAAAACGCAATGTTGTCTTTAGGTGCAACTATAATTTATATATGTATTATCGTTAATTGTTCTATTGTACATAGTTATAGTTATATTGATGTATTTGTATTTTTTATTGATATATTTTATATTTTATGTTTTTCCCCAGACAAGTTTTTAAACTTACGGGGCCATTGTATATTTATTTTACCTTTTGCTTTATTATTAAATATTATATTGTAGATAAGTTAATGGTGAAATAAATATTATTATTATTATTATTACTACCCCACTGTGCGATAACTTATTTTTCGTTAGTTGCCCTTTGTTTGTCTGAGTTGACTGACTGTGTTTAGGTTATTTCTTATTTACGTGCTCGTTTAATTTATTTAAAAGACTGTTGTTTGTTTTAGTTTCGAAAACTTTAAATTTTTGAGGTTGGCCTCTTAAGTTTTTGCTTATCTTGTTTTGTGACATTCTAACTTGATTTTGGTTTATTTCCACTGTTATGCTCTTTCCGGTAATAATGATTGATTATTGCCAGGTTTTTGTTGCAAATTTGCGTTCCACTCTTGGTTAGACTCGTTTCTTCTTAACAGAGGTGATTCTTTGACCTGTTCCGTGTTACTTAATTACTTGTCCGTATTCTTTATCCCTGTATTCACTTGTTAAGATATTGCTTTTTGAGGCACTATTTAATGTTTCTATCAAGACTTTGGAGAACAGGTACACTGATTTCACCTGCACAGGTAGTAAAACTTACCACTAATTTCACACATTATTTTCCTTGTATTACACTGTATATGAGCAGTTTTTATGTTTCTTTAAGACTTTTATTGTGGTTAGCCAGGTTAGGTACTTAAAAGCGCTCGAGCTCTAATACATCTGTTCGCCTTGCACTGGCTGTATTTAAATCAAATGTTATAAAATGACAAAATAAATGTAGTATCTGTTTTTAGTCTAAGAGTAAATATTTAAGTTGTATATAATAAATTTTATTTTTTGCCTGAGAAACCCTAAGAATACATAATTTTGCTTTTGAGTAGGTATATATTTTTTTTGTTAAGGATAAGAGCAATGCAGGTCAAATGTTGGAATTCCTCAGGGCAATCTGGCGATAAACATCTTTTTTTAAGTAGAGGGGTAAACGATCTTTTGAAAGGTCCAGGTGGAATTGACATGGCTTTTAATATTAACAGTCATACGTATTTGGCCCAAGAAAACAAAGTTTGAGTAGATGATTTAACCCCATCAATAATAAATGAGGAGTGATTTTTCAAAAGGCCTTATTTCCATTTTTACTTGAATGTAATTTTTTGACAAAATCCCAAAGGTATGGTTAAAAGCACAGACAAAATAGACTTGCCCTGTTCAGTATCGCTAACATGAAACCAGCGTGCCATAAATCGGGGAAGGGGGGCAAGGGAATGTATACATTATATTATATATTATATAAGAGAAGATATGTATTCTGCCAGGCCCGTATTAAATAATTTCGTACGAGCGGTATCTTTTTAAAAAGTATTAAATTTATTTTGTTTTATATTTGTAAGTACATAAATTCGTTATAGATTTTAAACACGAAAAAACGTAAAAATAATTAAATAAATTATGTATTTAAACAAATTTTAATGTAATCCTAAAAAAAATTAAAATTCTGAAAATTTTAAAATAAAAAACTGAATGAAACAGACCAATTTCGCTAAAAAGTCAGAATAAATAACTCCAAATGAAATAAATTTCCACTAAAAGTGAAAAAAGTATTATTTTAATATTATATTTTATTTAAAATATTCCTAGTGGATTATCAAAGAAATTCATCTAGTTTTACGCTCCAGAATAAACGACGTACGGCTCTGTGCAAAGGAGAGAACAACACAAGATCTGTGTGCGCACGCAAGGTATTGACATGCAAAATTAATAAAATCGCTTAAAATTTATCTCGTAATTACTACTTACTGAAAAAAGGAAATTGGTTGGAATTGGCTGGAACTAGTTTCACTACGACTAGGACACACTTTGAACACATTTACCCATAATGTTCAAAGAATTTTACATAAATAATATATCCTCACAGGTCAACTGCTCAAATATGAATGATTCGAACTGGAAAACAGGCACCCGTTCAGGCACCCGCCCGGCCGTATCATTTTCTCCCTAAGGCAAGTCTATTTTGTCTGTGGTTAAAAGGCATATATTTTATTTTTTAATAGATGCTGTCACCGTTAGTGTTATTTAACCAACACAACCTTCTTTTCAATAATGGCTAGTTTTTCAATAAAAAAAAACTAACAAATGGTGATGCCCATTTTCGAAAAAATGTTAAAAATGGTTAAGCGAATCAGATGACGACTTTAACGATAGAAATTGAGAGTAATGTCGAAAATCACGATTGTAGCTATGACACGGAACAAATCGAGGGTACAGATTATCAGAATGAAGCCACTGTATCAGACACGGAAAAGAATGGCAGGAGAAATAATTTTGAACCATAAAAACAATTGTGATTTGGTACTTAATATTATTTTTATTAGTATTTATTCAGTTTGTTCAAAATAATATACTTTTGTTTTGTGTTTAAGTGAGAGATTCTGTTTTTATTTTGTATGTTATTTTTTATTAAGATAAAAGTGTGTGTAAAAATTAAGTTGTTTTATTCAGTAAGTAAAAAGTTACTTTTACTGAATAAAATAACTTAACAGTATCATAATTAACAATAAATAACACATACAAAGTTATGTTTTTATGTATAACTTAAATTTGCATGTACAAACTATATTTACCATTATTATAGAATTAAGTTAAAAAAAATAACCGGAAAAAATATTTTATAAATGAGGTACGCCAAGAACAAACGTCACCAAATATATCACAAATTCACAACCTCACCAGTTAAGGGTTAAGTTAAAAAAGTGAGATTAAAACTGCCTAAAATTAATAATATCAAATAAAATTGGCTTTAACCACGGCGTTCTCTATATAGTTAAAACCAACCTAACTTTTTTTACTTGTCTTGTGCCAGGATTTGATGTCAGATTATAAAATTTCGTAAAAAATTTGGCACGACCATAACAGAATCCAAACACGAAGTTTGCCAGCTTTCGATTTATGAAATTTTTCATTTTTCCAAAACAGTACTCAATATATCATAAACGGTTTTGGATATTAAATAAAAACCATCTTCAGGGGCCGTAAATCCCTTAGGAAGCATTTCTCGACCTATCTATATGGGAACTTTTTTAAATATTTTTGTAGGTAGAATCTGCTGTTAAAGTATTTCACGCTAATTATGGGACACTATGTAAGTATAAAAAAAAACTTACTGCACTGTGTTGAAAGCAGATTGTGTTGCATAAGTACCATCAGAGGTAACAAGGGAGGCTGATGGTGCGGTATTTTGAGCCATAGCCGGCTTCGATCCCTCATCGGAATCACCAGACACCAACCGTTGTTCTGCCTCCAGAAGAGGACCTTCACCAAGAGCCGAATTAATTTCTTTAAGAACGGACTCAATATCGTTCACTTCAGTAGCATACTCTCCCAAAATCCACAAGGCCGCCCTGTGAACTTTTACGGATTTTATGTCGCGGAAGCATTCCAAAAGTTTCTGGAAAAAACAGAGGCTCAATATATAAATTCTTTCTTTTTAAAAGCATTCCCCAAAAACCTTTTATTAATATAACTGATTTTTTGAATAAAGTGGTAAACAAAATTTTTTTAGTAAAAGAAATTTGTGATCTTATAATAACTTATGTACTAATTATTAAGGTAAAAAACATTGACACGTTAATTGATCGAATCAATGAAGAGAAAATATGTTTTTTTTTTAAATAAGCTATTGTAACTAATCCATCAAGGTAATTTAGCTGCAGAATTAATATTTTGCAGTACGACCGAACGAAGCGACCTTATAGCTTTTTGTTTAAAATGGAATTTAAAAAGGTAATAAAAAATCTGCGGTTCTTAAATAATGAAAACTGAAAACCTGTCAAAACCAAAAATTGTTTTAACTTCGTTATTCCTGGAAATTAAAAAAAAAGTAAGTTTTATCTGTAAACATTTTTTTTTTATTTTTTATTTTAACCCAATTTGTGATTTTTTTCACCTACTGGATTTTAAGATAACACCATCTTTTGTTTTTCCTACCGCCATATTGAAATTTTACATAATTAAATAGAAACAGAATTAAAGAAAGATAAGTTATGGCGGCCATTATAAAAACAAAACATGTTAATGGTACCTATTAGATACCTAACTCAAAACATAGTAGCTAAGAAATTGGATGAAAATGTAGAATTATGTGTATGTTTACATGTAAAACTTACTTTGTTCAAAATTTTTGGAAATAACAAAGTACCTTCTTGTACAAACTGCTACATAATTAATCGACTGTACGGATTTTTTGTTTCAAATAAGATTTAATATACCTCGACTTAATGTAACATTTATAATTCCAAATGCGCGAACTAATACCCTAATTAAATCCCTATTTTATGTAATTTATTGTAATTTTAATACCATATCAAAGCACTTTGATATTAATCAACCTTTTTTAAATTGTATAAAATGTTTTTTAACCTATTGTAGTATTATATTTGGATGACGCTTATCTAAAAGGAACCAATTTTTTTTCTGGGCTTGGTAAAATATTAATAATAAATGAGCTTAAATGCAAAAAAATAAATACAATTTTTACAAATGGCCATTGACCGAGTTCCTTCAGCCGGTGAGCATATCTTGAACATATGGCTTTAAGCCGTAATTTTCGTTTTTCATACCTTTTAATTCAAATTTAGCTTGTAACAAAACACATTGCAAACTGCGAACATAACCCAATTGTTGTGTTTTATATTACCGCAATCCTATTCAAAACCAAGTTTTTGTCAATAATAAGGTTTAGTCAGTTATAAATTTATTTATGTGTATATTCAATAATACATTTTAAAAATGTATCACTCTTATAATGTAATAAACACATATTTAAGTATATGTAAGATAACCAACCTACAAATGTACTGTCATTTAAAATTTGCTATGTTGCCAAATTGACCATATGCAAGGAATGCGGTCGATGTTGCCAATGGTAAAAAAATAAAATTCCCTATTGGGAACATTCAATTATATTACGTTGGCTACATTGAAAATTTGAATTTCCCGCACAAACTAAATTAATTTCCATCTTTTTTTTAATAATAATAAATAATAATAATTCCCACATTTGAAATTCGCACCTTAATTTATTATACAACATTGAAACTACCTTCTTTATCTCTGGGAACTACTAGAATGTATGTCAGTTTCTGCGGGAAATTCAAAATTTCAGTGTAGCCAACGTAATATAATTTAATGTTCCCAATAGGGAATTTTATTTTTTTACCATTGGCAACATCGACCGCATTCCTTGCATATGGTAAATTGGTTCAAACTTAAATCAGTGGATATGCGTAATAATATAAATAAATCAACGTTTGTGCATACGGCCCTATATGTTTAAAGTGTCCTCCATTTGCATTTAATCATTTATTAATTCTTACTTCCACATTAATTAGGCTTTGCTCTTCTCGACTATTCTGGGCTCGATTCTGGGTCTAATATTAGAAATTGTTAAATATCTCTAAAGTTATTAAATTTATTTATAGGGAATAATTAATAATGATCACAATTCTCTTATACTAAATTATTTTTACAGCCTATGAGATAATCAAATACTTTGGTAGTGAGCTTTGACAATAAAAAAAGCTTAAATTATAGAACACTTCAAGATAAATAATTTAAACAAAAATACAAATGCACTGATTTTTATCTCATTGCAAATTTGCCTCAACATATCTGTAAGATTTTATTACTCATTTTATAAATATCAATAATTTTTTTAGAGGAGGCCATGGATTTTAACTTTTAATTCTAAGCAACATTTCCTTATTTCATTTTGCTCTAAAATTAAAATTAAGAGTACTTTTCTCTTGGGCCATTTATCAATGTTTCTATTTTCTGACCACCCTGTACATGCTATTTTAATTCTGATATTATTTTTTCAAGAAGCAGAAGTTTTTATAAAATACTTTAAAAACTTACATACATATTATTTTAAGAAAGAAACAGACTCTTTAAAAGTAACTTTTTTTTGTAAAATTAATAGGTAATAAAAAGTTTTCCTTATATGTGGAAAACTTACGGGGACACACTGTATATTAGGGTGTTTCAAAAAAATCGACTTTTTCTTTTTCTTCAAATGGTCGGAAAATTCTTTCAGAGGATGTCAACACAAAGACCTCGTCAAAATTTGAGATTTTAATTTGAAGATTTAGAGGTCGCGGATCGCAATTTTCTATTTCCCATTTAAATAACATGGGATTTTTTTTTTAACTTTGAAATTTTATACGTCTGAATCAAATCAACTTATGTCAAGGATCATCTTAAATATTTATAGTAAATTTAACGCTCTACAAAAAAGGTCTCCTATCATTTTTCTATAAATTGATTCCTTCCAGAGTTATTCGAGGCCAAAGTTTGATTTCCATCGAATTTTCGCGTTTTTTTACATTTATGGTACAATTATCATTATACGGGTGTCCCGAAATCAGGGAGCCAAACTTAAACAGTGCATTATTCGTATAAAAATAACACTTTTTTGTTTAATAAACATGTATCAAAAAATGCTCCCTAAAGGAGCTACGGCCCCCTGAATAGGAGCCTAAGAGGATAATTTTTTTAAAACTATTCCTAGAGGGTTGAACATGAACAAATGAATTTTCGGTAGGTACTTTGGTAATTTTGACATGCTGAATCTAGATATATGATCAAAACTGTTAAAATTTAATCATAGACGTAACGTTTGGAGGGGGCAAAGTTACAAAAATAGCCCCAACTTTTTTCTGGGTTAATAATTTAATTTTTTTTATGAAATTATGAGAATTTATAGTTTTTTACGAAAAATAGGTACTCTCGATTTGAATTGCTCAGATGCACCATTTTCGAGAAAAATGCATTTATAAATAAATTACTTTGCATATTATACACATCTCATATTTTCATTAAAACTTTGTAGTAGGCTTTGGAAAAAAGTGACGTTTTTTTGTTTTCTTGTTTTTTTTACAACACTTCCTATGTTTCAGATATAAATATGTGATTTTTTTACTACATGATGCCGCCCTCGGTGGTGTAGTAGTTAGCACTGCGGACTACAAGCCGAGAGGTCGTGGGTTCGAATCCCACCAGGGGTATGGTTGTTTATTTGTGTTTGTCATTGTGTATTTCTGTAATTGGGCCTGGTGCCTGTTGAAAGCACATTAAAAATAATAAAAAATAAAATAAAATAAAAGTTGAAAAAACGAGAAAATTCGATGGAAATCAAACTTTGGCCTCGAATAACTCTGGAAGAAATCAATTTATAGAAAAATTATAAGAGACATTTTTTATAGAGCGTTAAATTTACTATAAAAATCTAAGATGTTCCTTGCCATAAGTTGATTCGATATAGACGTATAAAATTCCAAAGTTAAAAAAAAAAATTTCCTATGTTATTTAAATGGGAAATAAAAAATTGCGATCCGCGACCTCTAAATCTTCAAATTAAAAGCTCAAATTTTAACGAGGTCTTTGTTTTGACATCCTCTGAAAGAATTTGCTGACCATTTGAAGAAAAAGAAAAAGTCGATTTTTTTGAAACACCCTACTGTATATACAGTGTGGTTCTCACTTATGGAATAAAATTTGTTATTCAATGAGAAAAGATTTTTATGAAAAAAGCTCGGACACGTAAACTTTAGTTTTTTATTTTCCCCCAGCACATTATGCACTTTTATTTAAAAATTAATTATTAATTCAAAAATAAACTGTTCTTCAATCTTATAAATGTTCAAAATGACACTTAAGTAATCTGCTGTGAAATTGTTCCCACACTCTGTTAAATTAGCAGGTTGTGTTTTAAACACCCTGTTTTTAGATAAATAGGAAAAAGTCTAGAGGTATTAAATCTTGTGGTCTTGCTATTTTTGCCTATTTACCTCGCCATTAAGAAGAAATGTTGTTCTCAGAAAAAAAATGTCTGCAGAAGAAATAACATGCAGCATTTCCTCGCAAAATTGCAATCTTCTATCAGAATCACCTCCAATCAATTCTTTTACGTGTTGTAGTTTATATGGAAGCATTTTTTCGGCCTTTACTAGAGATGTAAAAAAAACGGTTTTTTTTCAGATGTGAAAAAAAACATGAAAAAAAACCTAGAAAAAAAAACGGTTTTTTTTTGTTTTTTTTCAAAATGAAATTTTAAGTAAAATATATATTAATAATAAAGTGAAATGTAGAATATATTACATTTTTCATTATTGAAAATTTTGACCTAGACTAAAAAATCTGATTTCTTATTATTTGGTAGTTTCCACATTAGAAACCAATAGCAATGTAAAACTTCTATACTAATACAAAAAATTAAAGGATAAAAAAATGTTTTGCGATTCTTGAGATCTTTGTTAAAAATGGTCGTAAAAAAAGCAATATGAAGTTTGAAGTTTCTAGTTTTGAGATTTTTAGATGAAAAACGTGCAACGCTCAATCCTAACGAATACCGTAATAAAAAAATCGAATTTTTTTTGGCTTTCTGGTCCACGGAATGTTCTGACTTAACCCCCAATGAATACATGTTCTACAAGAATTTGCTATTGTTTAAAAAAAATCCATACTCTACATGAATTTGGAAAATCTTGAAAAAAGTGCTTTTGGTAGCTTTTTGAAAAATCAAGTGCGGCCCTATTAGTCAATTCGGTGGTGGTGGCGCGTGCATAGCGCGAGACTGTATTTACATTTACTAATTGTCATTTAGTGACTAATTTTAGTCCATGAACTGGACTGGAAACAAAAAATTAGGCAAATGGGACTAATATTGAAAAAAAACCTAAAATGTGAAAAAAAAACCATTTGAAAAAAAACAATGAAAAAAAACCTGAAAAAAAACAAAAAAAACGGACCGTTTTTTTTCAAGTCGCATCTCTAGCCTTTACACATTAACAAAAATATACAGGTGCTATGTAACATTAGACTGGGTCAAAAAATCAACAATTTTTTTAAAATATGGTTTGGGGTGACAAAAAAAATATTGTGAAAGTTTGAGTCCATAATAAGTATTAATATTAAGAGGTCTATCATAGCAATTTTAAATTTTTTTCCTCGGCAAGGTTTTGTCTCAGAACTCCAAAACCATTGACATAGAAATATGACATAGAAATATGTTTTTAAGAAAATTAAATTCTCTAAAAAAAAGGTTAAAATAAAAAATTTTCGTCAGATGAACCGTTTCCTTAAAATCATGCCTTAAAAATTGGTATAATTTTACATTTTGATCTTTTAACTTTGGAATTTTGTAATTCGTGTAAAAATCAGTACCCAGAAAAAAACCGATGAATATTCTTATGGGAAATGCTTTACAAAAAAAGCCTCTTAACATTTTTGGCTAAATTCACTCAATCAAAAGTTATTCAAGGTTAAAGTTGAAGTCAAAACGAAATTCTTGTTTTTTCCTCTGCAGATTTATTTTTTTATGGATGATAATTCGATTTTTTGTTCATAAATGTGTATTATATAACTATTTAACAATTTCCAATAAAAAAACAACATGATTATTATTATTTAAATGATTAAATAGGTAACAGTGAAAATATATTTTCTAAAGAAAATAGCTTCTTAAAGTGAAACAATTCTAATGTGTTATTTTTTTTTAATTTTAAGCAATTTTATCAATAACATAAAAATTATCATCGATAACAGAATTCAAGTTTTTAACTGACCCAAAAGAAATCTAGAGCGGAAAAAACAAGAATTTCGTTTTGACTTCAAATTTAACCTTGAATAACTTTTGATGGAGTGAATTAGCAAAAAAATGTTAAGAGACTTTTTTTGTAGAGCATTTGATTTGCCATAAGAATATCGTTTTTTTTTCTAGTTACTGATTTTTACATGAATTCCAAAATTCAAAAGTTAAAAGATCAAATTGTAAAACTATACCAATTTTTAAGGCATGATTGTAAGAAAACGGTTAATCTGACGGGAAATTCCAATTAAACCTTTTTTGTAGAGCATTCAATTTTCTTCAAAAAAATAGTCAATTTTGTTAAACTCAAAGTTCTGAGACAAAAACTCGCTCAGGAAAAAAAATCTTAAATTGCGATGATAGACCTCTTAATATTAATATTATGGACCTCTTAATATTAATATTATGGACCTCTTAATATTAATATTATGGACCTCTTAATATTAATATTATGGACTCAAACTTTCATCATAATTTTTTTTGTCACCCCAAACAATTTTTTTGATATACCTACCTACTTTAAAAAAAATAGTTGATTTTTTTGGCCCAGTCTAATGTAACATGTTAATCAAACAATAACTCGCTCAGGAAAAAAAATCTTAAATTGCGATGATAGACCTCTTAATATTAATATTATAGACCTCTTAATATTAATATTATGGACTCAAACCTTCACTATAATTTTTTTTGTCACCCCAAACAATTTTTTTGATATACCTACTTAAAAAAAAATAGTTGATTTTTTTGGCCCAGTCTAATGTAACATGTTAATCAAATAATAACTAAGCAAAAAAACATGAATAGGTAAATAGCGAAAGCCACAACACAAAAAACTAAAGCATAGGATAACAATAACCAATTCATACTTGCAATTTCTAAATAACTACCCTGTATTGAAAACTATGTTTACTAAACCCTTCTTTTGGTGTTTCATCAAAAAATGTGCACCATCAATTTTAGATGAAAAAAAGTGGGGCGCCAAATGTGCATATATTGTGGTGGGGTGAACATGGTTGGGGCAAAAAATTTAAAATGTATTATTATAACAATGTAAAACTATGGATAAAATTTTTCGGCCTTTTAGTATTTAAAAATATAGCTGGCAGGTTTTGCATCTATACCACTCATATATACACTAAAATATATCAAAAGTATTATTACCTCAATAATAAGTGGTTGTAGATTATCAAACTTCTGTATAGCCTCTCTTACAAACACCAAAACATCAGTGGCAGCTAACTCATTTGTGTCAGACAAGAATTCCACCAATACTGGTATTACAGTGGCAGCAATATCAGGAAACTTAATGGAGCATGTATGTAAAGTCCTGACCAAAAGTTGTCGGTACTTTCCTGTATCCTCATGCTCTACATCATGAGTTTTGGAAACTTCTTTTTTCAAAACCAAAACCATTTCTTCAATATTTCTTGACGAAACCAAATCCAAAGCTAAATTTAACGTTTTTTTTTCTAACCTCCAAGTCAGGGCTTGATAGAACTCTCAGAATGTCCATCACTAGATCTTGTAGAACTCTTTCATGACTTGGATGTTCTTTTAGAGCAATCAATCGATCCAAAACAATTAGTTTAACATTATTATCACTTTCCTTAATAATCAATTCAATGTAACAACTCGCAGCAGCTTTAATTGCAGTGGGAGCATTTGACAAGGTAACCAAAGTACCTGCAGCCTCATATCTTACGGCAGGGCTACTTGAATTCAACAAATTATAAATACACCTAATAAATCTTGATCTTTCTGCAGGATTTGAATGGCAAACCTTATAAATCAACTCCACTATAACCAACTGCAAAATATCCCCAAAAGTATTTACTTGATCCAAACAATTAGCCAAGTACGATAGAGCTCTATCCTGATCAGCATGTAACAACATTAGGAAAGCATTACGTTTACAAGACATATCATGTTCACCTTCCAAGTAAGTTGATATTAACTCAGGTGCATCAGGAATTAAGAATTCAAAGTTTCTGTAAATAGTGAAAATAGCAAGTACAGCATTTCTACGTACATAAGAATGTCTATGCTCCAAGCAAGAACGTATGGATGGCATTAGGGGTTCCAAAAGCTCAGGTTCTTTTAATTTACACAAAAATCTTAATGTAGAACCGCGTAAAAATTCATTGGGATGTTGTAAATCCTTACGGTAAGCATCACAAACCAATATCATTTCTTGTAATAATTTTCCATCTTGTGTAGTTTTGGGAACAATTTCCCAAAATATAAGTAACAACTTTTTGGCTAAATGGTCTTGCAGTGGTAAAACATACCTTATTATTAACATTAAAAAGCCTGGGGGTAATCTTTCACCTGCCAAAATCATGTGTATAATTTTCTTGAGGGCTTCAACCTTTTGCTTAATTTCTCCTTTTTCTACAAATATAAAATTGAATTATTAGTGCAAATATTTTTAAGCAACAAACCTAAATCCTGCTTAAGCTGCATTTCATTGTAAGGCTCCGAATCGGTGGGTAAATTAATTAAAGTGTAACAGGGCTGTTCTACAGCAGTCATGTTGATGGATTTTCTGCAAAAATTAATGTTTAAACATGTTAATATAAGATAAAATAAATAATTGTTAGCATACTTTTTACTTATACAAGATTAATTTATATTTCACTTGCACAATTTAATGAAATTATTGAAATGTAGAACATAAATACGTGTCAATACGTCAAATGTCAAACTAACTGCCGGTAACTGGCGATACCAACCTTGTAAATTTTAAGTAAGCCAACCTAAAATTTGTACGCAACTCAGTATGTAGTTTAGTATTTTTGTTGCCTATATTGAAGGAATTTCTCTAATATACAAAGAAGTTATATCACAGGGGTGTGATTTTTAGGACAATTGTACTTTTCTAGTACAAAAAATAGCTTCTAGTACGTCAGCACCTCATTTTAGTACAATTTTCAAAATTGCCTTCAGTTAGAAAAAAAAATAAAACGAATTTTGAAATTGAGACAAAATTTCTAGCAACTTTTTTTCAACTGTTTGTAACGGTGCCTTCGTTACAATCTAACAAAGGCTCTGTTTCCGGCATGGTTTGTTTAAATTAAACGATATTAAAAAGCGTTTTTTTGTTGTTTAATATCGCTTATATATATATAAGTAAGCTTATAAGCTTATACCATATGGTTTGTTCTATGCGTTTTTGTTGTTTAATAATTAAACCTTGGAAAGAATTAAACGTTATACCATTGATAAACCGGCCCTCAGGGCCGGTTTATCAATCTCTAGTTAAGTTCCAGTTAGTCTATCTGACAGTTAAATTTCATATCGATCGTTGTGAGAACAATGGTATCCATGGAAATTATCTAACAGATAACTAACTGCAACTTTAACTGGACATTGATAAACCGGCCCTGAGTAAAGTGTTCTTTAGTTCTTTACTCAATGGTTATACCTAGCTGGCTGAAACGATAGTCCGCCATTTGTGGCGACCAATTGGTTAGCTCCCTGTGCGGTGACCGCACTGCGGTCAGCTATTTTCTATCATTTACTCCTTCCCAAGATACATACCCTATTAAAAATGCCCTATAGAACCCATATTGATCCAGATAAGGAAACTAATATGGATTTATATGGTTCTATATGTCCTATATGGAACGACCTGGTTTACACTTTGGAATCTATATGGTTTAATATGGAATTTCATTTTAAAATGTACAACTTAGGGATTTTTATATGGATTTATCTGGTTTCTGTTTTATGTGTCTTTCCATATAGGTTTCCCTATATGGTTGAATATGGAATTCCATTTTAAAATGTATATATATTTAAACGAAAATTGCATATTAAACCATATAGATTCCCCTATATGGTTAAATATTGATCTATATGGTAATAATTTTTTTCACACCCAAACCATATTGGGCCAGATAGAGCAATATGAACCTATATGGCAATCCATATAGAAATCACTTTTCTATATGGTTTTCCAGGTATGGAATTCTATCTGGTTCAATAGTGCAATGCCTGTTTCAAATTCCTATATTGAACCAGATAGAACCATATAGATTTTTATTTTGTGTTTCTATATGGCATTTTTAATAGGGTATGTATACAGTGCTTGCAAACACAAGTCCGACCGGTTTGAGAAGGACGCGTGAAAATAACAAGGATAGAACGCCAAACAGAAGGCGCTTACAATACGCACGCCTGAGGCTCTGACTAATCAAATTCTGTTTGGCATTCTATCCTTATTCTTTTCACGCGGGTATTGAACAACGATCCTTCCCAAGGCGGTCGGACTTGGATTTGCAAGCACTGTATACTCCTTCCTGAGGTTTTTTATTCAAAGGTTGTGCTTACCTACCTGATTCTGTCGCCGACGCCGTTACGCTGTCGGCACTCAGCTGTGAATCTGGGATGTGATAGTGGATGTAGGTCCATTATAATTAATGGACAATGGTCCATTAATGGACAGGTAAGAATTTTAGCCGTTTTTTACTTATCTCCTGAACTTCCTAAATAATTACACAACCAAACTATGTTTCCCAGCTGGGTAGCACAACATTACGAAACCGGGACGATTTGTGTCCATTGTGTCCAATTGGACACAAATCGTCACGGTTTCGTCACGTTGGGCTACCTGGGTTGTATTGCATATAAAGCCTTATCATCTACCTTTTTGTAGATTTGTCATAAAAAAAATCAAAGCGCCAATAGTTTATTTATTACAACTTTACGTACTATGCTCCACACCTCAAAGTCCCACCACGTGACCACGTACGGAACGCAATCTTTTAAAAATTTGGCATTTTCAGGTTATGTATCTATCAAAGTATAGTCAACGAAAGAAATAATATTATGTTTAGGCGTTAAAAATGTATAAATCTTTATAACATTACACTAACAATGGATGGTTTAAGAATTTAAGAATATAAATACTTACTGCATTTAATGAAATTCTATAGAATTTTTTTTATAAAGTGTATATTTTTGTGCATTTGGTCCAAATATCTGGACTTTGAGGTGTGGAGCATCGAGTGGAGCATAGTACCTATGAAATGGTGATTCTATGAGCATAAATCTGATGTTGATTAAATTTGGACAGTTTTTGAATTTTCCCGCCAAGTTAGTACAATTTTATGTTAGTATATGTACTGCAGTTTCACGCTAGATGGATACACAATTTGAAAAGTTCACATACTTCCACACATATACCGCTTATATGCCTATATATTTTTTATAGATTACCTAGCTACAAGCTTGTAGCTTTATGCGCATAGTCAGTTCATAAGTGGGGGATTTAAAATATAGTATACCATAGACAGCACATAACATATGACAGAGAAATTAATACGTCCACGTCACAGAAATAGATTTTTCTGTGGTCCACGTATGATACGAATTGTCCACTAAATAGAATTTAGGTCAACTAAATAGAATTTAGGCGAGATACATAGTATTACCACAAAACTAGAACCTTCTAGTTTTGTGAGTATTACATACACCTAAGCTTAAGACATGTTGTATCATGACCTTAAGATAGGTTGGTGCGCATGTTGGGCGGGGCTTAATACGTCACTTGTTGAGTATTTTTCAATCTTTAACGTGCGTTTTAATTATCTGGTGCTAAAATTCTTGTTTTTGCGATGCTGTTCAACAGCAGCTGTTGGATGTTAACTTGCTCTATTTATTTTTGTTTAACTTGTTGTTTTTGCGATCGGTAAGGTTCGAATTACTTTTCAGTGTTTACATTATTGTTATTGCGTTGTGTTAACCTGTTCTGTTTGTTTATTATTGTTCTTGTTTTGTTTGTGTTTTAGTTTGTGTCGTGCCGTTTGCATTTATTAAAATGCGGTGTGACATATTTGGATGCAATTCGGACAACCAGTCCATGAAAAAACCTTTAAATAAAAGCATTAAATTTCATCGATTCCCGAAAAACTTTGATTTGTCCTAAGGACGTCCTAAGGAAAGCCTTACAGGATATTGGGATATCCCAAGGATATCCTAGGACGTCCTCGGACCTCCTCAGGACATCCCAACCATGGCCGAGTGGTGCAAAAAAGGCCAGCCTACAGACGTCCTGCAAATGGCCTTTAGGACATCCTTGGGATATCCCTAGGTCCAAATAGGTCAAGGAATAGGACATCCTGAGGATGTCCCCTGAAAGTCCCATGGGTATATTTGGGTCCAGGAATGGGATACCCTGAGGAAATCCTCTGAATGGCCTTATTTATTGGGGATAAATTTTAAACAATCAAATACCATTACTTTATACAATATAATATTTTAATTATGTATACCTACATATATACCCACACAGCACACGATATACATTGGACAACCATTGGATCCAATGGTTGTCCAATGTATATCGTGTGCTGTGTGGGTATATATCGATGTCCTGAATGTACAGATAACATCTAATCACTTATGGATATCGATATCGATATCCATTAGACATCTAATGGTCATCTTTTATGAATATTTATTTTCTTTTAATATAATTTTGGGATTAAAAATAAAAGAACCAAGTCTTCAAAAATTATAATACAACATAAAAAATTAACGTTAATTATCCACAGGATATCCATAAGATATCAACAAATGACTGCACTTTATTAAAATGAAAAAAACAAACAAATGGTGTTTTGAATAAGATTAACTTAATTTAAACTTGTTCAAAAACAAAATTAATCCAAACTGATCCTCTTTTATTTTATTTTTTTACACCAACTATATTTTAATTAATTTTTTTGTACTTACCAATTTTAAAACAGTCAACTGTTCAAATTAAAATATATTTTCAATACAGAAAAATTATAAGCCGGCTCTGTTGTAATAAAGCTAAAATGGCTCTTAATGCGACCCTGTTTAACGTTTAAGACGCGCAAACTCTGTTCTTTGGCGCATATTCATGACGCAACACGCTGCAAGGTGGCTGTGAACGTTTTTAATTTTAATTTAATTTGCTAATGCTAATAAACAAGTGTATTTATTCTTTGCTTTAGGGTATTGTGTGACTTTGGTGTATTGTGGGACCACTAATAGTCAATTTCAGTTCCTGGAGTTAAAAGTAAGTAGTAAAATATATAATTTTACACCATTTTTAAACAAAAGGTATTGTCTTTAACCCCAAAACACCACGTAATTTAAAAAACGAAGTGCCTGCAATTTATTTTTTACGGGCACGCTAGTGACGTAATAGATAAAAAACGTCATCACTGCCGTGCCGATTAATTTATAACTGGCGGCACGACAATAATATAATAATAAATTGTACCTGTATACATGTTTATAGGGTGTCTCTCAGATTTTATTAGTGAAAATTTTGTAATCGAATCAAAAAAATAGGAAGAAAAATGTAGGTATAAGAACTTGTAAGCTCTAAAGCTTTGTTTTCAAGATACAGGGTATTAAAGTTAATAAAAAAATCACTTTATTGTAAGTTTAATATTATAGATTTTTTCAGGGGAAATAAACAAATTTTTAATGATATCATCATCAGGGTTAACCCTGCCTAAAAAAAATTAGGTATGTATGTACTTTATAGTATTATACCAAAAGAACTGATTTTTAAAATATGAAAACGTTTAATTTCCTACGTAAACAAGGTGCTAAATAGGAAGTCTATACTAAAAGTAAATAAAAGAACTGATCTTTAAAAAAGAAAAAGTTCCAACCTGACAAAAACCACCTAGGTTCCATCTACAACATAAACAAGATTTGACCCGACGAAAACAACCTAAAAAA